TAAAAGTCAGATAGTGCAGAAATTCTTAGATAAAGAAGTTCCAGAAATAAATACTTGACTGGCCATCCAACAGCCCGGATGTTAATCCGATTGAAAACCTGTGGTCGGTCATCAAACGTCGTGTAGAGAAAAGAAGACCAACATATCTATCAAAGAGTTGAACAAGTTTCTGCACGAAGAATCGAACAGAGTCGATATGATCGTTCTAGTTAATTTAATTTAATCCATGAAATCTCGATGTTTAGCTCTTATTGAATCGAAATGATCAACTATTAATGGGAATATTATTGTACCTTATCGTTGTACTTATGCAATTTTTCTATTCATCATACCTAACCTAATAAACATTTGCAACACTATGGTCAAAACCTTTTGCACTCCACTGTATATAGAATTGCGTATATATCTAGATAATTAATCGAAGCTTGTAAGTGGTACAACCAAGAATTTTTGGGCAATATCAACTTGTAATAATTTATTTAATAATGAGTTTACAATGAACAAGATAGCAATGTCGCGCTGATAATAATATGTGTATGTTTCTCAATACGAGGCAACCCTAACTATTTTCCAACGACGTTCAAATAACTATTTCTTCGAACAACTCAAATGTTAACTATTCTCTGACTTATAATACGGCCCTTTTTTTCCAATATATCATGAGTTTATATACTAGCGAGAGAGAAAAGATTACGTGTTGTTCAGCATGCGACTATGTGTTAGTCACATACAAGGATGTATATTAGTATAATGTAAACTTAATTACGTCACTACGATATGTTCATTAGCTCTATGACTCATAAGTGGAGATGCGTCGGTTCCTTAACCCCATATTTAATCTAGTCTTGCATAANCCACCTATTAAATCTAGTCCTGCATGAGTGACGTACTTTTCGGCACAGATATATTATCGACTATTATGTAGTATTTGTATCATTAAACTTGAGTATCAGATTTTGCGTCTTTTCTTATGAAGAAAATATTTTTTATTATGCTTTTTTTGTTCTCGTAATTTTCTATACTATGTTTTGAATTATATTCCTATATACTTTCATATTTTTTTGTTATTAATGATGTTCTTCTTTATAGAACACTTTATTTTACTCTATAAATTATTTTCTAGTTTACAGTGTAGAAAAATTATTCTATAACATTAGTAGGAATATTAACTAGAAGACAAAACATAAGAATAAAAGGAGATCTCTGTCGCTCTCGAGTACAGCTAGTATATGAAATAATTTCGCAAGTATCGAGCAAAATTCTTTGAATGCATCACTTGTTTTTAGAAATTCCTTAGAATAAGTTTTTCCTATATTGGAAGATTATTCTATAGAAATAAAATTCTCTTATGACGGTGATAAGTGTACAATGAGAAGCGTCTTTTTTGTCTTCGACGAAGATTTAAAGGATTATACAAAAATAGGCTATAATATTAAGTTGAGATGATCATTTACTGTCACATTCGTATCTGTTAAATTATTTATAAAATTTTAATCTAAATCAATGATCCTGTGTAACAATTCTAGATAGACTTATACAGTAAATTGAATTATGTTAGAATATTCAAAATACGAAAATTTGATGAAAAAAACGCAACTTATAATAAAATAATGTTTGCGCTTCATTTATTGATAAGACCATTGAGAATTATGCCTTTATGAAAATAACGTATATATGCTTGCTCTATGGTTATTCATTTGATAAATTACGAATAGGAAAATTGTTTTTAGTTAAGATTGATAGTTGAATCAAGTTTTTTGTTTCTTCATTATTTGTTGTTTATTAAACGCAGATTTTCTTTTCTCTTGAAAATATCAATCAATATAGTAGCTTGCTCAATATCAAGACTATATAATTCTTCTTATTTGTCAACAGTAACTGAATATTAGCTTTTGTAAATCTTTTTGTTTCAACACTTCTTGATACATTTTACACACGTTTCGTATTCGTTCTTGAGCTACTCTACATCAGTGAACATTTCTTCACTTTTTTCAGATATGTAGGAAATTATAGAACGACTAAGAAACCTGTCTATTAGTAGAAGAAATCATCTAATTTCGAATTGCAGGGAATATTATTTAGAAGGGAATCATCAGAATGTTTTGAAATGAAATTCTCAATGTTATAGTAAATGTTTGCTTGTTACAAAAAGTTTCACTAGAATTATTTGTGATTGAGATGTTGAAAGAGTATATTAGTTTTTAGATTTCGCGGTTTCTATATTATCTTAAAAGCTATAAGGGAAAAGAAAAAAATATTAAAATCTGGTCAGGAAATATCTTCATCGCGAAGATAACGATACTTTCAAAATCCTAGTCAAAAGAAAATTGAACATACTGTTGTACCAACTGTTATTCGTACGTTATTGCAAAAAAATTTCCATTGATACAATCGTTCATATTTGATCAAGATGTGG